CCCCTCCTGAACTCCATCTCTCTTCATTCCCTTCCACTCAGTGTGGAAGCTGCTTTCCTCTCCTGGATTCCGTCTTTCTGGATTCTCTCACTCAGTGTGAGAGGAGCTTTTCTTCTCTGGTTTTGCCCCTCTAGGAACCCTTCCCGCTCAGTAGGAGAGCGGCCTTACTTTCTCTCACTCAGTGTGAGAGTTAGCTCTTTCTCTCTCCTTCTCCTTTTCTCTCTTTAAATAAATCACTTTCTACAAACACTTTTAAGTCCAGCATTTACCGCGCACTGCGCCATGGTCCCCTCTCTCATTCTTGAGAGGGCAGGAGACCAAAAACCTGGAGAAACACCCTCTCAGGGGAGCTGAGGGCACCCTAAATCCATGAACCCCAATATTATAGTACATGCAGAAGTGACATAGCAATATTTCAACATTTTTGTAAGTTGCATTTGAGCTTCAATGAAAATTCCTTTACAAAAAAGGATCAGGTGGTGGGACAGAAATGGAGTGAAGAATGGAGAGGCTGTACCTTCATCTGACCTCCTCCACTTATTACAGTACATGAAGCCCAGGATGTCCTAGAAACTTCCTTAGTACAAGCAGCTCTGCACATGGCAACCAAAGCCACACTGCTTACATGAATAGGTAGGCGGCCAGGAAAGCAAGAGTCTCACTGTACATCCTGCTCATTTTACAATTAACGAAGAACATGGGACAAGAGGAGCCACATTACCTGTATTCTTAATAAGAAAGAAAAAGGAGATGCTCTGTGAGGATTTTGTAAGGTAGGGAGGTATATCCCACCATGTTGAGGGTTAAACTAGCAAACAAAGTCTATATCCTCAGAAGAGAGCCAAAGAACATTGCCGCTGGGCTTCTCCTGCAGCATCAGAGTGAGGAGATGTTCATTAGCTTGTGGTGTTACATATTCTGTGTGGCCTTAGTGACGTCTCCATAGACTGCATCACTACGAAGTCCTGTTTTTAAGAGAATCACATTTCCATCTTGGGGTCCTGTGAGTTTTACCAACTTCTAAACTGAGTACTGGCTTGTCATGGTTTTCTCCTCAGTTGACATATGAATGAGTCTGACTACCTGGAACAGGAATGCTACCCCCTACCTCCCCAGACCTCTGAGTTTGTCTTCCTAGGAATGAGCTTAGGTTGTAGCCTCTCCTGGAAGAAGGAGGATGGACTTTGGAACTCCTCTTAGAAAGAGAAGATTCTGTCTCAACTGTTTCCATTCAACTCAACTAGGGAATGGGAAAATACTGGAAACAAAGGAGAGAACTCATTATTTGGCTGCCACAGGAAGACATTACCTACACACTGCCACTCAGGAACACTTCTTTTTGAGTGTTCTAGTGGAGGGCCACAACCAGAGGTTATATAGCTGCCTCCAGAGGGTAAACCCAGAAGCCCCCACCTTGGCAGCCTGGTGACATGCTCCCAAGGCTGTTCCCTGGGACTAATATCTGTGCATATACTCCATTCTTTTCATGACAGAAAGCTTATGAAAATAAGCTTTGATTTTAATATTAAAATACTAAGGTTTTCTAATAATTTTCTTCAAAAAATAAAACATCTAAATAGGCCCTAAAATAATAAAATAGTTTCTAAAAATAGGCCCTATTTTATTTTTTAAGTAACTTAATGGTAAACTTCAGTATTTTATTATTAAAAATAAATCTCTGAGCAAAGTAGCAGGATACAAAGTCAACATACAAAAATTAGCTCCATTTCTATACAATAATAATTATTCTGAAAAGAAAAATAAAAAAATTCAATTTACAATCACATCAAAAAGAATAAGACTTTTATGAATTAACTTACCAAGTTGGTAAAAGATTTGTACAATAAAGACTTTAAAACATTGCTGAAATAAATTAAAGAAGGTATAAACAAACAGAACTACATCCCATGTTCAGGGATTAGACATGTAAAAATGACTCATTTTATGATTATATTGTACAAGTCAAACACAATTTTATCAAAAAAAAAAAAAACTATGCTCAAAAAATTGCAGATTCAATGCAATCCCTATCAAAATCCTAATTTTTTTTTTTTTTGCAGAAATAGAAAGGCCCATTCTAAAATTCATATGGAATCTTAAGAGAGCCTGAAAACAGACAACGAAATCCCAAAAAATAAGAACAAAGCTGTATGACTCACACTTTCTGATTTTAAAACTTACTACAGAGTTACAGTAATCAAAACAGTGTGGGACTAGCATAAAGACAGACATACAAACCAATGGAATTAAATAAATAGCACAGAAATAAACTCTCATATATATGGTTAAATGATTTTTGACAAGGATGCCAAGACCATTCAATGGGAAAAGGATAGTTTTTTCAACAAATGGTGCTGGGAAAACAGGATATCCACATACAAAAGGACGAAGCTGGACTCTTACCTAACAGAAATGTTAACTCAAAATGGATCAAAAACATGAATGTAAAACCTAAAATCATAAAACTCTTAAAACAAAGGGCACAATCTTTACAATATTGGCTTTGGCAATGATTTCCTGGATAGAACACCACGGGCACAGGCAACAAAAGAGAAAATAGATAAATTGGATATCATTAAAATTGAAAACTTTTGTACATAAAGACACTATCAAGAAAGTGAAAAGACAACCTGCAGAATGGGAGAAAATATTTGCAAATTATATATCTTATCAAGGATTAGTATCCAGAACATATAGAGAATTCCTAAAACCTAACAATAGTAAACAACCCAATTCAAAAATGGGCAAAGTACTTGAATAGACATTTTTCCAAAGAAGATGTACACATGAACAATAAGCACATGAAACAATGCTCAACATCACTAATGATTATAGAAATGTAAATCAAAACTAGAATGAGATATCACCTCAGACCCATTTGGATGGCTACTATTTGAAAAAAGAAAAAGAAAATTAAAAGTTTGGTGAGGACATGAATAAACTGGAATCTGTGGGCACTGTTGGTGGGAATGTAAAACGATATAGTCACATGGGTAACAGTATGGCGGTCCCTCAAAAAATTGAAAATAGAATTGCCATATGATACAGCAATTTCACTTCTGAGTAAATATTCCCCTCAAACTGAAAACAGAATCTTGAAGAGATATTATTGTATACTCACAATCAGAGCAGCATGATTCACAATAGGTAAAACATGGAAGCAACCCAAAAGTTCATCAATGTATGAATGGATAAGCAAAATGTGAATGAAAGTGAAATTATTCAGCCTTAAAAAGAAAGGAAATTTCGACACATGCTGTAACATAGATGAACCTCGAGGACATTAAGCTAAGTGAAATAAGACAGCCACAAAACAAAAAAATGCTCCAATGCTCTATAATTCTGCTTATACGTAGTCAAAATCATAGAAACAGACAATAGAATTGTGGTTGCCAGGGGTTAGGGAAAGTAGATAACGGGGAGTTATGGTTTAACACGTATAGAGTTTTTGTTTTACAAAATGAAAAAGGTTCTGGAGATGGATGGCGGTGATGGCTGTACAACATGATGAATGTATCAAATATCAATGGCCCGTATGCTTTAAAATGGTTAAGATAATACATGTCATGTTTTGTGTATTTCACCACAATAAAAAAAAAAAACCTGGGAAATAAATATATAAATAAGTGTTTCATGATAGAGCTCTCAAGTGAAATGATGGCCTAGATCTGGGAGAGAGACTGAAGAAGTGCTTCTGTGGAAGATATGTTCTTGGGAAGCAGGAGATAGTAGGTCAACCACTCCAGTTCTGCCACTCTGCTCTTGCAGCCCTGGGCCAAGCAGGCCTCCCAGACCCTGTCATCTAAGTTGCCATATGATCCAGCAATTTTGTTATGAAACCACCCTGTTTGTGGTACAGGAGCTGGTATGTGGCAGATGGTGGTGGGGCCTAACAAAAAGGCATCCTCTGCTTTGCTGCTCCAAATGTGGCTTCTGACCGGCAAGGTTGGCAAGATTGGCATCACCTGGAGGCTCTCTGGCCTCACCCCTTTCTTGCAGAATCAGAATCTGCATTTTAATAAGATTCCCAGTGATGCATATGCACTTTGAAGTTCAGGGAGCATTGCCTCCAATAACAAATTATAAATTAGTCTCCACTCAAGCATCTCTCCCCATGACTACAAAACTCTTATATCAATTAGTATTTTCTCTCAGCATCAAATATACTAATGCAGCATAAAACAAATCAGCATCAGAGTGCATTTGCAAACCTTGCAAAAAATGCAATATTTCATTGAATCAATAGATGTGGTATTAGGGATCTCCTCAAATCATACACATAGCATAGACAAGCAAGAAACAGGCAGATTTAGACCAATTACGAAATGAAGAGGAGCTAATCTACAGGCATGATGGCATTCCTTCAAAAGAGAATGATTTGAATATCAAAGAATTAAGAGAGGCCCTTGGGAAAAAATGATTAGGCCTATGAATATCTTTGTAAAAATGACCCACTTTATGATTATACTGTAAAAGTCAAACACAATTTTATATAAAAAAAAAAACTATGCTCAAAAAAATTCAACACTTCCCTTAATCTTTAATCATTCTAAGAAAAAGCACATTGTGTAATTATAATTTAAGTTGCATTACATAAAATATAATGCATTTTCATAAGTTTATTACCATTTTAAAAGATGAAGTCTAATTAAAACTTTTTCTCAGTATTTATCATGATGTTTGGCCCTTGTTTAAAGTGGATTCATGCTAAGTGTACTTTCCTAGTTCCAGCTTTTCTCCAACAATAAGACCTGCTGAACTGGAATCCTTACTATTGCATGTGCATTTTTCTTTTTATCATATGGAACTTCTTTTTGGTGCAGATGATCAAACTGAGTATCAATTATAAGATAGTTAATACCCACTCACTCCACAACTCAGTGAAGAATTCTTTTAATGTCCCACTTCCTGGTTGGATGTTTCAGCCCATTGTACTACCACAGAAGGAGGTTTATCCCTAGAGTGACAGTGATAGCAACTGATATCTTTTCAATGATTACCTTATCAACCATGAGGAAGTTCTCTAAGGTCTCTCCATTGTCACAGGTGACATCACCAACCTCTCTTACTGCTCTGGGCAGGATTTCTTGCACCTCCTGGGCAATCATTCCTATAACGAAACACTCCAACAGGTTTAATCTTCAAAGAAAGATCTTTCTGGAGAAAATCCTCACTAAGCTTTTGCTTTGATCTACAATACATCTGTGGCAAAGAAGGAATTTTGAGCCAAGAACTACTATAGAATTAAAAGTGGGAGTGTTGTTTTCTCTACTTTTTTTTTTTTTTTTTTTTTCCTTTTTGAGACTCTGGGCCAAATGTTGGAAAGGTTGAGGTAAGTGCCTTAAAATCCCTGTCCATACAAGCAAAGGTGGGGCATTAGCTTGATTTCCTTTCTTTTCCCATATGAAGCCTTTGCCCCTAAAATACTTCTTCCTTTTTTAGGTTTCTTGGATTGGAGTATAAACATCACCTTGCTTACCCCGTCTCTTATCTAGATCCACTTACCCTGCCACCTTCTCCCTCCATCTCCCCACTGCCCAATGCGGGTCCTCATACAGGTTGAGCTGCCATCTGCCTGGAACCCTGAGCCCGTGAGCAAGAGGACTCCAGTGAAAAAAACTATATATTCAACCCACTCCACCAGTACAGTACCTTGGGGTGGAGGAGTGGGGTGCTGAATAAAAAATGACACAGAAATTCTTTAACCTTTCCTGTTCTAGTGACTATGAGTTTCACAGAGCACAGGTTAGATCAACATAGAGTTGTCAAATGCCATAGTACAGAACCTCAAAATAAAAAGGAAATGAAAATTTTAACAGTTGACAATATAGAATTAAAAGGGGAATGTGTGTGTGTACCTGTTTGATGGGCGGTGTTTATTCCCATTGCAGATGCAAATTCAGGTTTGTAGTCATATTCAACAATTCTCATTTGGGCTATTCTTTTCAGCTGTTCAGTTGTGTCAACCTAAATTAAAGAAGAGCAGATTTTACTAGCATAGATATTTGCTATTCAAATTAATGCCCAGAGTGACCCAGAGACATCACTGAATTGCTTTTGGACATTTTGCTGGAGATAATTTCTTCAAGTGGATTGCAAGCCAGGATTACCCAACTGCGGGCCCTTCAGGACCCACCCATCCCCCTCCTCCTGGACACCCCTCCCTCACACCATCCCAGTCAGCCGGGTATCTTCTACCTGCAGTCACTGCTCTTACATAAAGATTGTCCCAAATGTCACTACGGGGTTCCAGCAAAATGATAACAAACAAGACAGTACTGTGAACTTTCCCTAAAGCTAAATGTGTTTGATCCAAAGGAGTCCTCTTTAAATTGAGAGATTTTATAAATGAATTGATGGTAATAGCAGAATCTATTTTTTAATGTCTTTATCTGACAAGCAAAAAGTTGGCAGCCCTTTGTGGGTACCCTAAATTTTCTTTTGAACCATAATAGGATTGTGAAACCAGCGGTGTCTTGGCAGTTAAAAATAAACTTCCTGGGCATTCATCCATGTGATAGAGGAACCAAAAATGCTTTTTGTTGTTGTTAAGAAAACCACCGTCATGGTCCTCAGCTCCTCCCTTGACAGTAGAGCCCCTCCACCATCGTTTAGAATTCTCAGTCCTTCACTAGTTGGGTTGGTTGTGAAAGATGGTGGCTAAACGATGAGCTTTATTTCAGGAAGCTATTCCAGCGCATAATTCTGAGCTTCCTGCTATCATTCATTCTTCGTTTTATTCAATTAACATTTACCAGTCACCTCCAACATATCATGCACTGCTAAGTGCTGGGACTTAAAAAATAATTGCCTTGAGCTGGAGGCCATTAACCTCAGCAAACTAACACAGGAACAGAAAACCAAATGCTGCATGTTCTCACTTATAAGTGAGAGCTAAATGATGAGAACACATGGACACAGAGAGGGGAGCAACACACACTGGGGCCTTTTGGAAAGTGGAGGGCAGATGGTGGGAGGAGAGAGAGGATCAGGAAAAATAACTAATGGGTACAAGGCTTAATATCTGGGTGATGAAACAATCTGTACAACAAACCCCAATGACACAAGTTTACCTATGTAACAAACCTGCACTTGTACCCCTGAACTTAAAATAAACGTTAAAAAAAATTGCCTTTTAAAGGCTTATCGTCTGGACAGGAAGAAATACCTGGTATATACATACGTAATCATATATGATTTTATTACAATGTGAGAAACACAGGGCAATGGTGGAATTACACACAGAGAATCATTACAGCTCTGAGGAAAGGTACCTAAAATATTCTTAGGGAAATACAAAGGAAGGATTCCTAGAGAGGATGAAGCCCACGCAAGATCTTGGCTTATTCCAGTTCCTCAGACAAACTCTGCTCCTTTCACTTCCAAGCCTTTGCTCATGCTGTTTTCCCAGACTCAAAAGTTTCCTTCCCGCTCCCCTACGTTCTCCTTCTGCAATGTAAGCACTGTTCCTCAGACAAGGTTCTCTTGACCTCCAAGTCTAGGCAAGGTTCCTCTGCTTTCTGTGCTCATAGCACCTGTTCTCCTTCATAGCATGCGTCACAATTACCACAAGACAACTAATTCCATCACCTTCATTCTTCTTCTTCCCCTACATAACATATACCCCGTGAGCATGAGGACATGTTTAAGGTCATGGTTCATCACCACGTCACCAGTTTCTGGTATAATTCCTTGCATGTTGTAGGTGCTCAACTAATAATCATTAAGTACATTACTAATCTTAAGATAAGAGTTAGGGAAAGATGTAAGGTAAGAAGGGAGGGAGAAAGGATGAGAGTAAGGCATGAATACTAATCAGAGAGAACGCCATGAACCAAGGCCCGAGGCAGCAAATGCCCTGAATGATATCTGCGCAACCAAGGCAGAGTTTGGCATTACTGGACTAGAATGGTTAAGGCCAGAGCAGGGAGGGCCTTGCAAGTCATACTAGGAAGGAGCAGTTACAATCTCATTTTGCCCTGTTCATGTATCTATCACTGTGAGTATCTTCACTTGGTCACCAAATATTTATTGAGTAGCTGCTTTGTGCCAGATGCTCTCCTAAACACTGGAGATTCAATGAGTGTTTCTTATTTGGAGCTTAAATTTTAGTAAAAGTCATTCTTGGGTCTTATTCATCTCAGGGCCTGCACAGTACTTAGCAAAGCATCTGACATGTAATAGGCACCCCAAATTTTTGATGGAAAAAAGAAGAAATAAAAGAATGAAGGTATTGAAATGGGAGGACAATCCCCGACACGAACAGAATTGAAGCGAGAGGGTCAATCAGGAGCCAGTCTGGACTGGCCTTGCACTGCCTAGGCCCTACCCAGTTCCTCAGCCAGCTCTGGTTAGCATGCGCTCTTAAAGAAGAAGAAATTGTAGCCAGGCATGGTAGCTCACGACTGTAATCCCAGCACTTTGGGAGGCAGAGGCAGGTGGATCACAAGTCAGGAGTTCGAGACCAGCCTGACCAATATGGTGAAATTCCATCTCTACCAAAAATACAAAAAAATACATAGGTCCCTGGCAGTCCTATGCCCACTTCCTATATCCCCTTGGTTCCTGCCCCACCTGCAGGGACCCCACTAAAGAAGGAAGCAGAGGCAGTGTTGGTTCCTTGGCTGCAGATGAAAAGCGGAGGAGGAGGTGCCCTCATGCAGGCTGTCCAGGCTACAGAGAGGGAAATGGTCCCTGGATTCTTGAATGCATTTTCCCCAAGACATACTGCTAGACATAGCATTAGGTCCTCTAGTACTACTACCATCCTCTACACAGATTTTCGGCCAAGAAAAATTTTGAGGGTTAACTTTGAGAACTAAACATTTTATATGACAAGATTTGTCAAACAAACTGCTCTTCCAATTTCTGGATTTGTAGACTTCTCAAAGCCAAATATAAACAGCAGCCTGTATTGAGTGATCCCTATGTGTACACATGGACCAGGGAAAACAATTGAGGCAAAGGCTGTGCCTTCTCTGAATCCTCCCCTGGGACCCTACATAGGCCGGCGCTTACTGTTGTACCTTGCTCTTCAATGTCTGCTGAGTAAGAAACTGAACACTGGATTCGGGTATCTACTTTGACCTTGCCCACAGCAGTTGTTGAAAGTTTGGACCATGAATGCAAATCGCCATCAGCATCATACTGCCTCACACCCAAGGTTTCTATAATATATCACTAGCTCAAGAACTGCATCACAGAGAATGCCTTCCAGTCCGTGGGACTCAGGTTGTCCAGGGAGGGCTCTCTGTCATCTGGTGATGGCCCATAGCCCAGGCACAGTCTGGAATAGGAGCAGCTTAAATGACACCTGCTCACCCTGAGCAGAGGAACTTCTGCATTTGGCTCCTGGCCCTGAGGGCGACTTTGCATGTTTGACTTTCTTGAGCTTTTCTCATGTCTACTTTTGTCTTCCACTAGCACCCGGGTGGTGCGGTTAGGAGAAAATCAAAACAGCCTTTGAGCATTTCATCTTCACTGATTTTCTTTTCTGGCTGGAATTTTTAAATATCTTGCTGCCTTTTTTCAGCCTTCACCGCAGAATTTGACTGATGCATTCAACTCTCAACTTCCTCATGTTTTTGGCCACTGACACTGACGTTCTTCATGTGCCTCTGATGTTCCTTTCCCCCCTAGTTTTGCTCAGTTTCCACCGTCAGAGCTGCATTTCCTTCCACAGTTTGCAGCCGCATCAGCAGACATGATGCCATTGGCTGGGCAAGTTAAGCTGCTCCTCTGTACAGGACCTCAGTTGCAGAGGTTTCAGTCATATCTGCATCATCATCTCCGTATCTTGGATCCGTGTCCCTGTGAGCATCAAAAATCTCCCCCACCAGTACTTTGTAGATAATCATGTGCTTAATATCCACAAAGCAATCTGTGTTTCCTGAGTGAGGAAACACATAGCCAGGGCAGAGCAGCAACCTATATCCATTTTCCCTAATTGTAGTATTAGGCAACATATTTGACCACTGTATTTTGTGGAAGCTCATCCAACCAGAAGCCAGCTCTGGTTAGCATGCACTCTTAAAGAATAAGAAATTACAGTGGGGCGTGGTGGCTCATACCTGTAATCCCAGCACTTTGGGAGGCCAAGGCGGGTGGATCATGGGTCAGGAGTTCGAGACCAGCCTGACCAATACGGTGAAGTCCCGTCTCTAATAAAAATACAAAAAAATTAGCCGTGCATGGTGGCACATGCCTGTAGTCCCAGCTGCTTGGGAGGCTGAGGCAGAAAAATCACTTGAACCTGGGAGGTGGAGGTTGCAGTGAGCTGAAATCGCATCACTGCACTCCAGCTTGGGCAACAGAACAAGATTCCACCTTAAAAAAAAGGATAAGAAATTGCTTCCAGTCCTATGTGTGCCATCAAATCGACCAAGGGTCAGATTCCCAGAGTATTTGAGAGAAAGGCTCTCTTTTTAAAAGTTGCAAAAACTAAGAAAGAGATAAAGATGAAATTCACCAATCAACATTACCATCATTTCCCTCATCTCACTAATAAATAGTGGATTGGGACAGACAAGATTTCTAGGAATATATATCTCAAAAATGTACATAGCTCTATTAAATCAATTAATATGAAATAATTTAATAAATATCATCTAATTTTCATTTTGTATAAATAGAAAGTAACATCTATTTGTTTAGACTTGTCTAGCTAAAAAAACACTTTACATATATGAGCTTAGAAGAATCTCTTAACCTGGATAGAACAAATAAGAGCATTCCCTGTTCATGGACAGCAAAACAGAGTCATAGATCACCTCTGGGCCAAAGTTCCTGGGCTGGTGGTTGCCGGAGTCAGGACTAAACTCAGTCTTCTAACCACAGACCAGGATTTTATTTTTATTCTCTTATGCTGCTGTGAGCAGGAAGGGGATACAGAAATTTCACATTTAGAGCCTGGATTGAAGTGACATTTCATCTATACAGAGAAGGCTTTTTGGAAGGGATGTGAGAAGTTCTCCGGAAGCTTGTTATTTTAAGACACTATTTTCTTCAAACCAAGGAGCAATATTTGAAGACGTTTGGTAAACGAAGTTTTGTGTTTAGGCTGATGGTAGCAGGAAAGGCTGTACAGGACTTTTCTCACTTGTTATATTCAATTTACATTTTAATAAGACTTGGTAGTGAATTGTATAGCCAATTGCAAGGATAAATTTGAGTCGGTATGATCTGAAATGGAGACAGACGATCTCTCTCTAAAGTTCAAAGGCACAATATCTAGGACCGATATCTGGAAATGTATGTGAGAATTCTCTATCTCTGCATTCCCATCTGGCCAGTAGGTCACAGGTCTTCTATCATGAACCGCAGCTTCACAATCAGTATAAAAGTCTACAATTACAACCATTCTTTGGAATCCTCTAAGCAAAGGAGGACATTCCTTGGCTAGTTTAGAAAAACCAGTGCAGATTTGCACTGAGAAAGGAATGCAGTCTGGAAGAAGGGCTAATGGTGAACAGATTAGGACTCCTATTAGCTTAAAAGGAATAAGAAAGGGAGGGAAAAGGAACTTTTAGAACATAGCCTCACAAATGCTGTCAAGAGAAGTAGTAGAGTGAGATGATGGGGAAGTGGCAGGAGGAATGAATGGGAAATCATTAAATGGCAGAAGAGTTGGAATGAGGTGTTAATAGCTGGCTAATGGACCGGAATCTTAATCTTCATTTCTATGGTGTACATAGAGTTGTAACTTTCCAAGGTGATTCAGTTCAACTGGTTAAAAAATTAAAAAGAGCCAAGGGTGTCAGGCAGGCAAGCGCCATTTTCATCTTATAGATGAAGACACTGAGTTCGGGGAGATTAAGCATTTTATTGAGGGTCACAATGCTGGGGAGAGTCCAGAGCAGAAGAGCCCTCTCCTGATGTCTAAGGCTTTTTTCTGGTTTTCTCTCCACAGAGGGAAAAGTTCTTCACCCAGAACTCTTGGTGATGAACTGACCAAGATAAGGGATAAGGAGGAGGAACTTCTCAAGAGTTCCTCAGAGAAAGATGATGCCTGGGGTAGATAATGGCCAGAAGGACTGGTGCCAGGGACCTAGGAGGAAGAGGCTAGAGACATCCAAGAAAAACATGATCAGGAACTGGACTGAGACAGTGCTTGGAAGGTGAGTGGGGAGATGGAAAGGAAAAGGCAAGCTCTGGAAGCAGACAAAGTGTGGAAGGAAGGGCAATGGCCTGCGGAAGATAACTGAGACTTGCTGCTTGTGAAGCCAAGGACATGTCCTTGCCCACTGCTCCTGTTGGGTAAACCCATTCTCTCAGGTAGGAACTGCTTTACAATTTCAGCAGCGATGCCCAGCAGCTCAGTCTTCACACTTAAGCAGTGTGTTCATCTCACACCAGTGAGTGACATGTACAGATGTGTGGTGCAAGGTGTGGCAGCGGCCAGGAGCACCCAGCACATCCGATTGGAGTGTCAGAGGAGGGGCCCAGGGTCTGACTCTGTACTCACCTCCTGGATATTCTGCTTTGCCCGGCTGTCAGAGGGATGCATGATGGTCCCCATCACTTTCATGTTGCCACAGACAACCAGGGCTTCGTCCGGCGCATCTGTGTTGATTCCTACTCGACCATGACAGACAACAGATTCTGGAACTTGTCCTCGCTGCCACAGTGCATCATTGTCATTTTCAAATTGCCCAGGGTTAGAGGCCTGGAAAAATACATAAATATATTATAATTAAAGTTACAGTAACAGGAGTAGATGATCATGCTAATGTTCAGAGCAAAGGCAAACTGAATATTATCTAAATATTTTACAAGACAATCCTGTATTGAGTGACATATCCAAGTAACTCTGGGGCCCAGGAGAGCCAGGGAGGCTTCCCCAACCGCTCTGCCGCCCCACTAGCAGGAGCTCTGTATGCCATGATTTGAAACATACATCTCTATTGCCTCTATCTGGAATTAAGAATGTAATCAATTATATTAGGTGGGCGACAAAGAAGAAAGCTAAAAATGGCTATCTTTTCAGGAATAATCATCATCATCACGATTTAAAATCAGAACATTACATCAGAAAATATTACAGGTGTACCAAAGTCAGATAAATAAAAATACCTTTTATAGTTTCAAAACGCTTTTATATTTATGATTTCATACGCGAGTGACAAGCAAATGATAAACAAATATATTTAATATACCTCAACTATTCCCTAACACAGAGGATAGGAAGGAAGAAGAACAGCTACACTTGTTGTGCGATAATTCACAGTGCAGTTCTATGAGATATGTACTATTGTCCTAGTTTTATTGACACTGACACCCTGAAAAGAGAAACAAATTGCCCAAAGCCACAAAGCTAATAAATTCTGGAGCTGGAACTATAAGTCCTCTGATTATTAAATAGTGATTTGCCTATTTCATGCCATTGCTTAGAAGTAGTCCTGGCAATCTTCAAAGAAAATCCAAGTGAAACCATTGGACTAGACAAAGTTCTGGAGATTTTACTCTTAAATAAAATTATTTGCCAAAGAATGTTCCACTCCACTGCCTTCCTTCCTCCCTGCTTCCCTGTAGCCACTGAATTGATTCCCAAATATTTTAAAGTAGGCACCTCTAAATCCCTCAAAATCCTCATAACAAAATTAATTTGTTTTTAAAATTACGACATATTTTCATGATTGAGACAGGTTGTCACAACTTTAGGCAAACAGTTGTGATCCTGATTGCCTAAAAAGTCAGTGCTAATACTTGACTTTTTGCCTTTCTGGTGGTATATGATACATTGCAAGCTCAGCACCTGAATATGCAGATTTTCTTGGAAGACTACTCAGGAAACCAGTAACAATGGTTTCCTCAAGTATGGAGTCTGGGAGATGGAGAAACAGTGGTGAAAGGGAGATACACCTTTCACTGTATACTCTCTTGATATTGAGTATCTTGCCATATGCATTTGTTACAATTTTTAAAATAATTAAAAGGAACCACAAAGTTTATTTCTTAGTTTGGGTTCAGTTAAAAAACTTTTTGATGACTTCAATTTCCTAATTCAATCCCAAATGTCTGAACAGTGAGCTGCTTGGAAGACTCAACCATTGACACTTGATGGACAAAAACAGTGAAAGAGGCCAGGTGTGGTGGCTCACACCTGTAACCCCAGCACTTTGGGAGGCTGAGGCGTGTGGATCGCTTGAGGTCAGGAGTTCAAGACCAGCCTGGCCAATATGGTAAAACCCCCATCTCTACTAAAAATACAAAACTTAGCCATGCATGGTGGCATGCTCCTGTAGTCCCAGCTACTTGGGAGGCTGAGTTCAGGAGAATCACTTTAACCTGGGAAGTGGAGGTTGCAGTGATCTGAGATCAGGCCACTGCACTCCAGCCTAGGCAATAGAGCAAGGTTACATCACAAAAAAAAAAAAAAAAAAGCAGTGAAAGAATGTAATATAAAGTAATGGGGTGGGAGGCTAGTGGGGAGTGGGGAACGAATATAAAATAACAACTTTGAAGATTATTTTGTGTAAATTTACTTGAACAAAGGGCTTTTCTGCAAGGTCCCTAGAGCCCCTTGATTGTGAATGGCAAATTGGCTTTGACTCAAATCCTTTAGAGCAAGCAATCAACTAAATCCAAAGGTATGCCATGTAAGATGGTGATGTATTTTTCTCTATTTTGAAGATAATGAGCCATTTCAAGGAAACAAAATAAGACAGTGATGGATTTTTCTGTAATGAGCTTTGGGATAGTTATTATCATATCGGTAACTTGATACTGAAACAGCAGATATAAGTGGATTTAATTTTTGGAACAATTGCAACATTCTCACTTAGCTTTCATCAGATGAAAACTCAAATCCCTAAAATATGTTCACATTATTTTGGAAAGGGCCACAGATTCACAACGTTCCAAATATATAGCCCTAGGGAGAATTCCTCATCAGTAACGGAAATGTTCTCATAAGATCTGTGAGCTTACTTCTCTTCTCTGGAATCCACAACCTTCACATGTCAAAGCAAGCTGCAATATACTACCTCTTTCTGGAATTATGAGTTTGTATTCACACGTGACCCAATAGTGGCTTATGGATATCAAACACCAAAATAAGTGAATTAAAATGTCTAAAATACTTTTATTATTTGTCCCATAGCCTTTTATTTAGGGAAGATGCCTGAGCATTCTAGTCTATGTTATAACACAAACTAGGTGTGTGACCTTGGGGCAGTCTGTTCGTCCTTCTGTACTGTGTCATCCTCTGATAAATAAATAATGTCTCCTTTATCCACCTCCAAGGGTTATTGTGGGATTAACTGAAATCATGTGTGCATGAACAGTTTGCAAAAATGAAGATGAAAAGCCTCAAAGTTATTCTCAGCACACTCTCCTGGACACAGCAGCAGCTATTTAACCTATAGTTGCTTTATCTGCTCTCCTCAGCAACACACCTGCAGAGCTGCACAATTCCAGGGGACGCCTTTCATAAAAAATACAATGTAAATGGCGCCCCCTGCAGGTTACTGGAATAGAAAACAGCATCAGCAGTAATTTTAGGCCTACTCTGAGTTGGAAAAGAAAAGCTGGAATTTGTTTTACTATCGTTTGGGATTCAAAAGCAGCAGCCAAATAACAAATAGAAGAGCTTGATCTGAGGAAGGCAGCTCTTAGGAAATCCATTTTGCACCTTTTGAATGGGTTACAGAAAATGGACCTAGAAATGCTCTGCTGGTGCTACTCAAAGCATGGCCTGCAGGCTAGCAACATCAGCATCTCCTGGAAGCCTGTTAGAAATGCATATTCTCAGGCATCCTGACGTACTAAATAAAAAACACAGGTATCTGTGTTCTTACAAGCTCTCTGGGGATTCTTATTCATAATACAAGCTTGAGAACTACTTACTTACTATAGAAGTTGCCGTTCTATAGTTGACACAAAGATCTGTTGAGTCCAAAACAGGTATTACTCCATAAACTGGTTTTTTCGTTTGTTTGTTTGTTTCGTTTTTTTGTTTTTTTTTTTGAGACAGACTCTTGCCCTGTCATCTAGGCTGGAGTACAGTGGCGCAATCTCGGCTCACTGCAACCTCTGCCTCTCAGGTTCAAGTGATTCTCCTGCCTCAGCCTCCTGAGTAGCTGGGATTACAGGTGTGTGGCACCATGCCTGGCTAATTTTTGTATTTTTAGTAGAGACAGGGTTTCGCCATGTTGATCAGCCTGGTCTCAAACTCCTGACCTTGCGATCTGCCCGCCTTGGCCTCCCAAAGTGCTGGAATTACAGGTATGAGCCACCACGCCCAGCCTCATAAACTGTTTTCTTTGAGTAAATAAAAATTCACCTGAATTCCAAAAGAGGGATGTGTGTGTGTGTGTGCGCGTGCGTGCACACATGTGCGCACATATGCATTATTATATTATCTTCCCCAACCCTAGGTTTGGCTTCCCACCTCACGCAGTGCAATTTGTAGAGCAGTAGAGGGAGAATTCTTGGGAACATGCCCATTTCTAGTCTCCTGGAAAAGAAACTGGAATAATTTATTATTTTCCAAAATGCAGAAACCCTAGCGTGTCTTTGAATGGCAGACAAAAGTAATCATCCCTCCTGCTTGCAACATTGCACTCCTAACCAGGTTTAATTAAGTATTTTATAAGGAAAGTGGGTCTGAAATAGAAAAGCCCAGTCATTAACAAGGGGAATCTGAAGGAACTCCACTGAGAAATTCTCCCAGAAACAAAGACTCAAGAAATAAATCTGTTCTTTGGAGTAAGCCTTAATTTTCATTGGTCAATTTATGCTAAAGGACCATCATATACTTCTTAAGCTGTTTTGATTGACAACCCAGATGAACAATTACTGGATCCTTCCCACCATTCTCTCTCCAAGCAGAATTCTGACAAGCTTGGTCTCCTGGACCCTTCCTGGAGGCCTGGAACTCATCTAGGCCTCATATAATCACCCTTTGCAAATAGTAAAATGTCAATCTCTGCCATTAAGAGGAGTGGTTCTTAGGCCACAAAGCAAGTCTGCATTTGTTTAAATGCAGTTTTCATTTCTCCATTTAATGTGGTCAGGGCTTGTAGTATCTGTGTCAAATTTTTCTTCCCATTCTTCATTCTGGAGCTCAAACTAACAGTACCGGGTCATGACCTAAGCGGCCACATCTGGCTCTTTTGTAGAATGTTGGCTGGTCTGCCCTCTACCCAACCCATTTGTATGCACCATATAGGCTCCCCTAGAATCTCAGGTGGCAGAAAATGTATTCTGTGGACATTTCTAAAACTCACTAATTCGAACAATAATGCCATTTCTTAAACAATTAAATAGACCGAAAAGTCTGCATTCATTTTCACTTTTGTGTTTTAGAGTTTGAGTGAAATAATATCAATAAGGTATTTCTAGCAGGGGGATGAACATTGATATTAGTAATCCTTTTCTTCTCATTCTGTTAGGGTGACTTTTGTGTTATCCACCACACTTGTAGAATAGGGTATTCTCTTTAACCAAAATCGTATCTGGCAGAAAACTATCAGATCTGGAATACAATCTTTTTTTTTTTAAATAAAAATTTAGTGAATAGCGTGACACTAAAACTATGCTGAGTAAATTTAATATTTTGGATATTCATACTGAATCTGAATAATGGAATTTTCAGCTTCTCAAAGTCATCATTATGAGCTCATTGTCATTGTGCTTGGGATTTAAGGAGGTGCCAGTTAACAGAGAGTTTTTGGTAAAGAGGATGCTAGAGAGTGGAGCTCCCTCCCTCTCATGTTGCTGTTGTGTGGAATTGCACAGCAGCTGCGTATAGCTTTGCAGGAGCTGTCAGCAGCAAATGGAGAAACCTTGTCACTAGGTAAATTATTCCAAGTATGCAGGTGACTAGCAGACTATCTGTCTCAAGCAGAAGTTACACCGATCAGGAAAGTACTGTCATCGTATCTAATCAATGCTAACCCTGAAAAGAATGGCATTATCTGTCTTTATTCCTTCCTAAGATAAACAACATGCAACCTGGGTTTCCAGATTTGACTTTAAACCAGATTCGTTAGCATAGCAAGGCAATTCCAGATGACATCAAATGAGATGTCAAAGATGGCCCTGGTCCCTGCAGAGGGATGGACAAGTACCTCTGTGATTGGCTTATGATGCAAGGAGAGGCCACACCTGCCTCTGCCCCAGCGAATCCTCATTTGCTGCAGGTTATGTCAGCAGCCTGGGGTGTGCATGCCCTGGGATTGCTGAACACATAAGTGTTTTACCTCATTTCTATCATTACTTCATCTCCATTAAAACACTGAGATATAGTTGAAGGATTTCCACTAATAGGAGGCTTATTAATTTTAATTGACAAAAGGAATTACAGAGTGTTCTTTGTTTCAGAACAGTTCGTCACAGGCAAGGAGAGATGCCATTTCCCCATATGGGCAGGTCTTCTCCTCCTCCTCAGGGCCTCAGGTTAACAGCCACATACATGGGCAGGCCCACGGTGAACACTGCTCTCTATTGGAGTTTGCATGGTCCCCCTGTATCGCTTCAAAGATCCGTAACAACACAGCCCCTCCTAGGGCTGCCAGGCCTGTGGCTACCTGTTACTTCATGCCTCTGGTATTTTCGGCAGTGGCCAGCCTGAACTCACACAGCTGCAGCTGCAGCTGCCAACAGCTTTATGTTTCTGTGGCTGCCAAGACTCCCCTGCACAGCTGTGACCAATCATTCATTCAGCAAAATGTGCTGAGCCAGCCATTCCTATGTGCTAGGCAGTGGCCCAGATGCCCTGGTACCACCAATCACTTTTGGCCTGGAATGCTTTCCTACCACTTTCCCCACCCTGCGGGCTTTAGGGTCAGAGAGATCCAGGATCCATCATTTATAATTTGTGAGATCATGGATTAGTTACTTAGCCTCTTAAGCCTCAGTTGCTCTGGGTATAAATAATGTAACGTGAAAGCATAACAATGTAAAATGATGTCATATGTAAATTACTTAGCTCAGTGCCTAGAACATAGAGTAAAAACCAGAGTTTCTCCACCTCAGCACCACTGACATTTTGGAGGCATTTTTTGTTGTGGAGGTTGTCTCGTGCATTGTAAGATACTGAACAGTACCCCTGGTCTCTACACACTAGATGCCAGCTGTGACAACCAAAAATGTCTCCAGACATTTCCAAGTGACCCTTGGAAGAAAAAATTGCCCTTGGTTGTGAACCGCTATGTGAAAACTAAAATAAGAATTTCTGCTATTACTATCGTTATCATCGAAATAATCAGTATCATCGAAAAAGCACATCATTGAAAATTCCAGTTCTGCCTACATGGGAGGAAAGCATGTGGAATCCAGAAAAGTCAGAGAACTGAGCTTACCCTTACAATGATCCTTTCAGAGATGTGGGCAGACAACAGATAGAACTGGTCTTGGTTAGCAGCATACAGTCCAACCACCAACATGAAGTATCTAATTCAGAGACAGCAGGCAAATGTCAATGCATCAGGAATGGAGACACGCTTCATACAATCAAACACCACCCAACAGTTGATCAATAGTGAACGTATCGAGATGAGTTTGCTTATTTAAAGACTTCCTTTTCCCTTCTACTCTAAGTTGTCCCCCAGTGAAACAAGAGAGTAGTTGCTTTACTTGCTATTGTTCTGGGTCAGCACTTTGCCCAGTTGGTGGTATTTGTGAGCTGTTTTACAGGCTCCAAAAGAGCAGGAAAGCAGGCTGCCCCAGGGAGATATCCCAGGAGGGGGCTGGGGTCAGCCTGTCTCCACAGGGCCCTCAGCACAGCATAGTTCACAAATATAACAGGAAGCCACCTTAAAGGTCCCTTTGCTCAGAGCCACAGAAGCCACATGGCCTGGGCCTTAACGGAAGCTGACTCCATTGGGTCTGTGCCACCACACCGGATCCTTCCCAGCTCAGCCTGCCCTTGGCCATGTATCCTGTGCCTTCAACATTCTCAGGGCTTGACTTTAGCCAAAGACTCAAACCTCCCCTTCAATTGCTCCCAAGGCAATTTTCATCACTGTTCCTTCAATTGCCTTTTCATACGTACCACTGGTGAGACAGTTTTAAGACTAGACCATTTCTTGAAAGTCAAAATTAAAACTATCCTCATCAAAGACGCTTTTATCCTAAGAACTGCATGCAAAAACTTCACCAACTTCCTCTATAACACTCCTATTCTCCCAGAGAACAAGAGTTTCCCTCTGCATCTAAAGTAAATCAGGAAGAGAGTAGTAACTGTTATCATTATTAGTATTAGCTACTATCAAGAGCTCAGTGTGTGATGTACCGGGCTAAGCAGTTTACCCACGTTAGTCTATTTGGATTCTCAAAACAACTTTACTGGAGTAGAATATTGTTATTGTCTCTTATTTTACAGGACAGGAAAATGAATCTCAGAGAGGTTAAGTTTTCTGCCCAAGATCACTCACCTAGTAAATGTCAGTATCAAATAGTTAAATTCAATTCTATCCAACTCCAAAACTATGTTCTAAAACCAGCAGTTCTCACACTTGAGCATGTATCAGTGTCACCTGGAGGGTTTGTTAAAATACAAATTGCTGAGCCCCATCCCCAGAGTTTCTGATTCAGAGTCTTCGATTCAGTTTTTGATGCTTTGTTAAGGCCCAAGAACTTGCATTTCTAACAAGTGTCCATTTCTGCTAGTCTTGGAACCACACTTTGAAAGCTACAGGTCTAAATCATGAAAACAAGTTATTTTCTTTTTTAATCAAAAATGTCACAGCAGAACTTCAGGTCTAGAGGCCAGCACACTGGTTAAGAAATGCAGTCAGTCCTCAATCTTTGGATGGCAATGAGACATAAACATGTGGCCGCTCTAGAAAACCATAGAGGGAATTGAGCCAGGCAGAGTTAGGGCTGGGCAGGAAAGTGGGCATTGCAGGGCATGAGGGTGGAGAGGAAAGATGTCCACAGGTAAAGGAGAAATGTTAATAATCTGAGAGGCAGAGAAAGGAGGCAAGTGGCTTAGGGAGGCCCCATGTGCTGTCTGGTAGTATCAGGAGGATCAGAGGGGCCCAGGAGGGCACTTCCTGCCCAGATACAGTACCCAGCCATACTGCCATGCACACAGTGACACCAGTACCTCTGGTCTGGATTTGGTTTTCCCTTTTTTCTCATATTATTTGCTGTGGTTTCGCTGAAGTGCAATCGTCCCAGTGTTACTTTGGTGACCTGGTCGGCCAATAGGTCGATTCTAAAACAAACAGCAAAAATCCGAGAGACTATAAGAGAACACGAAATCTCCGATCATATCGAATTCACTTTTAAACTCTCAACTATGTTTGGTTCCCAGTTCTCATCACACTGGGAGAACAGTTTGATCTAATTGCCAGTTATTCACTGCTATCCACAGCGTGGTCTGGAATGACTGCCAGGAAGGCCATAGAATACCTTGAAGGGTAGGAAATGCTCAGTCAGCAGAAGCTCAAGCCTGGAGCTCCCGACTCACAAGGGCCATATGCTCCATATACCCGGTATGGATCCTTTTACCTCCACAATGGGAAGAGAAAGCCTTTAATTTGTGCTGCTGCCACTGCTGTGATAGCACTCATCTCCTGACTGAAGCAGTTTAGGTCTTGCATGAATGCCTTTGCACCCTCTTCATGTATTTGCCTTCTCCTAGTCTAGCAGTGGGAGGCAGGTCCTCCAAAGGAGGGCCACATACACCCTTCCCAGACAAGGGAGACCCAGGTGTGCCACACACATTTAGTGCTGCATTTGTACAAGTGGCTTCTGGTCTGTCCAGGCCATGAGACCATTTGCTTTTCAGCCCAAAGGGGGTTGACTCAGGGTCAAAACCCCGAGATGTCTCCACTGCATCCCAGCCAAACCAGTCAAAAAGCAAATCCCACTTATTCTAAGTCGTCCTACAAAGAAGACTCGAACTTTGCACACTACCAGCTATATATGCTTTCTATATTGGAATCCATTCAGCCAGCTATCAATGCAGCTTTAAAGAATAAGAAAAAATGACCTCTAAAGCACAGCATGGATATACAATCTTGAAATTACATCAATCAACATTATGCTGATTTAAATGAAAAATTAAAAGAAAGATGTAGCCATAATCTATCTCAAGAAACTAAAGTTGTTAGTAAGGTTGTTAGCAAAGCTTTTAGCAATAAATAATATAAAAATAATAACAGCTTTAAAATAGATCGTTTTATAAAGAATTTTTACAATGGCTTCAATCCATAGTACAACTTTATTTTTGTTGATGGACATATATTCATAATATTAACATTAATACTACATTAACCACTAGGCACAGTGGCTCATTCCTGTAATCCCAGCAGTCTGGGAGGCTGAGGCAGGCAGATCACCTGAGGTCAGGAGTTTGAGACCAGCCTGGCCAACATGGCAAAACCCGGTCTCCACCAAAAATACAAAAATAACCTGGGCATGGAGGCGGGTGCCCGTAATCCCAGCTACTCAGGAAACTGAGGCAGGAGAATCGCTTGAACCCAGGAGGTAGAGATTGCAGTGAGCCGAGATCGCACCACTGCACTCCAGCCTGGGCAACAAGAGCAAAACTCAGTCTCAAAAAAAATGAAACAAAAAAAACTACATTAACATTATTAATTTGGATTCTATGGTAGGTTTCATTTTAAATAAGTAAAATAAATTAGGTAATAAAATTATATATATATAAAATAAACAAATTAGGTGTTTATTCACAAAACATTCACAAAAGAATTCAGAAAGTAAATTCTTACTTAACAGGATTGAAAATGTTTTTGCTCCTATCTGCTTGGGATTGTTCAATAGCAATTATTTGATTGGTGGCTTCTACCTGTATGGAACAATAAAAAGTAGATTAATTAATTATTTAATTTATTTACTTATAAAAATGTTAATTAGTAAAGGATTTTTGAGTACTTAAAAAGTTTTTCAAGGCATCATCCTAGGCAGGAGGGACAAGTCACTGAAATGACACATGAGACAATAGTCCCTATCTTAACGCAGTGTGCTGTTGATGAGGAAAGAAATAAATACCTGTGAAATTAAACAATGAGAATGCAAGACCACAGAGTATTTCAGATAAGTAGTGAATACAGAGTGGGCTAGAAGATGACTGAAACATCAGGAGCAAGGCAGCTTTTTATTTATTCATTCACTCTAGAAGTACCTAAGGAGCACCCACTATGTACCAGGAACTGCTTTAGACATTAGAGATAAGAACTAAACACAACAAACAAAATTTCCTATCCTTGGGGAGCTTACATTCTACTATGAAGAAACAATGATATACAATACAATAAATAAAACATAGGAAATAACATTTATTCAGCATCTGCTACAAACTCTTCTTGTTCTGTGAATATTGGAAAGGGCTTGTGAGACCAGCTCTGTAATATACGACTGGGGTAATTTTTCTAGAACGATTGTAAAAAATCTTTCTAGAAAGCAATTGGTGGCCTATATCAAGAGTTTTAATAATGTTTGTATTCATGTGTAAATTTCCCTTCTGGAATGTATCCTTATGCAAAGGTAGATTTACATAGATGTTCACTGCAGTTTTATTAACAATAAAAAATTGAAAATAAATAAAACTTCTAATATAATAAAGGAATTAATATGATGCATCCATACAATGGAAAACTATACATCTTTGTGAACAATATTTTTTTGGGGTTCTTAATAATATCATATGTGATGTTCACAATATAGTATTAGCAATATAAGATTAATGTTAATAACAAAAAAATGAGGAAAAAAATAGGCTACTGAATGTTGGATCCCAATAAAAATGAATTTTATCTCTTTTTCATATATGTATTTCTATTATCTTCCAAAATTTTCACAATGAACTCATATTACATTCATAATAATAAAAAGAATGTCTTTTGGTTGCTGGTTTGTTTGATATGTATTTTTGTATTTTTTGTTTTGTTTTGTTTGAGAGCTCAGTTTGATGCAAGAGCAGTTGATGTGTGCAGCAGCCAAGCCTTAGTGCCTAAGCCCAGGTTAGCTACCAGAATAAAATATGTAGGCCAGGCACAATGGCTCCTGCCTGTAATTCCAACACTTTGGGAGGCAGAGGCAAGAGGATTGCTTGAGCCCAGGAAGTTGAGGCTACAGTGAGCTGTGATAAAGTCATTGCATTCCAGCCTAGGTGACAGAGTGAGACCCTATCTTAAAGACAACAAAACAACAACAAAAAACAATAAAATATGCAGATAATGAATGCTGCTCCCTCTTAGGAACTGGATATAAAGTTACAATTTCATAAATACTTTTTGATCACTCAGAAGTCATATTACCTGCATTCTGAACCCAGCTCTACCATTTACTTGGATGAATTGTGTAACATTATTGGTTCTCAGCCTCCCTTCTGTTAAACTGTAGAGAAGGGGTATTGACTAAATTAATGACTCCTTGACTTTTTTTACGTCACAGATTTCTTTGATAATCTGATGAAAATAATGAATCTACTTCATATGAAAATGCATCAACATGAATAAAAATTAAATAATTAAGAATACATTTAGTAAAAGAATTGCAAGAGTATTCACTAAAAATGATAAAACTATAGTTTGAAGTGATGCTGTGCCATTTTCTGAGCCCAGGCTTATGAAATCATCATCTTGGCTGGATATGATGGCTCATGCCTGTTATCCCAGTACTTTGGGAGCCTGAGGCAAGAGGGTCACTTGAGCCCGACCAGGAATTCAAGACCAGCCTGGGCAACATAGTGTGACCCCATCTCTACAAAAGCAGCCACACTTCTGTGGCATCAGCTACTTGGGAGGCTCCCGCGTGAGCCTGGGAGGTCAAGGCTGCAATAAGCCATGATCATGCCACTGCACTCCAGCCTGGGTGACAGAGCGAGACCCTTTCACAAAGAAAGAAAGAGAGAAAGAGAAAGAAAGAGAGAAAGAGAAAGGGAGAAAGAGAGAGAAAGAAAAAGAGAGAAAGAGAGAAAGGGAGAAAGAGGAAGGAAGGAAGGAAGGAAGGAAGGAAGGAAGGAAGGAAGGAAGGGAGGGAGGGAGGGAGGGAGGGAGGGAGGGAGGGAGGGAGAAAGGAAGAGGGAAGGAGGGAGGCAGGGAGGGAGGGAAGGAAGGAAGGAGGGAAGGAAGGAAGGAGGGAAGGAACGAAGGGAAAAGGAAAAGAAAGAGAAAGAAGGAAATGGACACTTCACTTGTCTTGCAATGTTTATTCTTAGAACCTACCCACCATACTGTGAAGACACACAAGCTATCCCATAGAGAAGTTCACATACAGCAGAGTTAAGCCTTGTCACTTAGAGCCCCATTTAAGCTCCAGCTGATGGCCAGCACAAACTCAACAGGCATCTGAGTGCTTCTTGAAAATAGCCCAGTTAAGCTGCCCCAGTTGATGACTTCTGAACAGAGATGAGTTGTCATAGTCACACCCTGACCCAGTTGCAGATTTGTGACCAGAAATAAAGGATTATTATTTTAAGTCATTTCGGGATAGTTTGTCATGCAGCAAAGACAACTAGAACAAAATAAATGACTTATGTAATAACTGAACTAAATAAAAGACGTACCTTAATGCCAAAAGCTTTCAAGTAAAACATTTCTATTGGCTTTAGGCCCATCTGGGTTTCAACAAATTTTGGGCTTCCCCAAACTTGGATGTGGATGGTTATCTGAAAATGATTCTTTTTTTGGCAAACAAAAGCTTCATCTGCTGGTGAAAAATTAAATCCTTTGTCTGTTACAACTCGATAGCCCACATCAGGTCTATGAAAATAGAAACCAAGAAATCAGTTTTACAAATGTTTTCTTCATATTTCTTTTCATCAACAATACAAATTGTATAAACATTTCAGGAGAGTGCACTGTGAAAAATGCCTTTTGCTGTATTTAATCAATTGATTTCTTGAATTTTTAATGAGGAAATAAAAATAACATTTCCAAACACAGCTGGCTGTTTCCAAGCTTTTTATTTTCTCACAAAGAAGTGCAATATTTTTTTTTTTTTGAGACAGAGTCTTGTTCTGTTGCCCAAGCTGGAGTGCAGTAGCACAATTGCTCACTGCAACCTCGGCCTCCTGGGTTCAAGCGATTCTCCTGCCTCAGCCTCCTAAGTAGCTGAGACTGCAGGTGCACATCACCATGCCTGGCTAATTTTTGTATTTTTAGTAGAGACGGGGTTTCGCCATGTTGGCTAGGCTGGTCTCAAACTCCTGACTTTAAGTGATCCCACCTGCCTCAGAATCCCAAAGTTCTGGGATTACAGGTGTGACCACCGCACCTGGCCAGAAGCACAATTCTTGCCAAATGGAAGCATTCTTTTTTCAGATGGCCTTTCCCCTTTGTGCTTTCTAGACTTTTAATTTGACTCCACAATACTATAGAAAGACGTAGGCTAGACGTTGATAAGTCAACATATTATTCAGACTTGTGAAATATCTGAGGTAAAATTAATCTCTTTTCTCCTTTAGAAAAAAAGTGTCTAAATTTCACCAGCAACAATATATTTAAAAAGTCACTCAGATGAAAGAATATTCAGCCTATTGATGATCATATGGAAAAGCAGACTTCGCAGAATTACCAGGAATAGCTCTTAAATCAACCAGAGTCAGTTATACAGTTGATTGGAAACCTGTTTTCACTAGAGTATGGTCATTTCCTTTTTATTCTCACAATTTGGTAAAAGCACTGAAAATCTACTAGGGCTGTTACTTCTGCAGAAAGAAATGGGATAGTGGTGAGGTGGCTAATCAAATTTTTGCTTTATTTGTTTCATCACTGGTATTTCCAATAGGAATGCTTTGTATATATAAGTTGAGCATCCCAAATCTGAAAATCCCAAATCTGAAGCGGTCCAAAATCCTAATTTTTTTTTTTTCTTTTTTTGTGATGGAGTCTCGCTCTGTCACCCAGGCCGGAGGAGAGTGGTGCGATCTTGGCTCACTCCAACCTCTGCCTTCAGGGTTCAAGCAATTCTCCTACCTCAGCCTCCTGAGTAGCTGGGGCTACAGGTGGGCGCCAGCACAAGCAACTAATTTTTGTATTTTTAGTATAGATGGGATTTCACCATGTTGACCAGGGTGGTCTTGATCTCTTGACCTCGTGATCTGCCCACCTCGTCCTCCCAAAGTGTTGAGATTACAAGCATGAGCCACCGTGCCTGGCCAATCCTAAACTTTCTGAACACCAACATGATGCTCAAAAGGAATGCTCACTGGAGCATTTCAGATTTCAGATTTTTGGATTAGGGGTGCTCAACTGGTAAGTAGAATTCAATCTTCCAAAATCCATATAAGTTCCCAAATCAGAAATACTTCTGATCTCAAACATTTCAGATAAGAAATACTCAAACTGTAATAGGTTTAATGAAATAATTCTGAAATGTTAATAAAAAGAAAACATTAAGTGTATATTATCAAATAGAAAATATAAAAGTTGAAAACTTCTTTGGTGAATTTTTCCCATGCATGTTGAAAATATGCAGCAGGATTTGTAATTCATCAAGCTTCCTAAATGCGGGTTTCTTCTCTCTACAAGCAGAGGAGGGCAGTACTCACTACTGTACGGATCTTTGCATCCTGGGATCTCAATTTGGACAGCTGCTATTATAATGAATAACACAGAGTTTCTAAATTTTCCTCTAATTCTGGAAACAGAAAATATTACTGGGTCTCTTAGGAGAATAGTGTTCATGTTCTTTGCACCTCCCCAATGGATCAAGTTATTGAGTCATTGATTACCCTTAAGAAGCCAATCAAAGGCTCCACAATCACAGTGCCTGCCAGCAGCAAAAAGAAAATCCACTGAATGAAGAATTTGACAAAGACTACATGTCTTATGCCATCTGGAAACTTCTTATTGACTCAGGTTTCTAGAATTAATTTGCTAATTTGTTCATATAAAGGCTAGATGGCTAGAACGACATAGATTTTACTACAGAGGGCAATAAGAATTGTCTTGGTTGAGGAAAAAAAGGAGATTCTTTGGTGATGCTTCATGCTTCACCATCAAAAACTCTGAAGAAAAAAGTACAGCTAAGATATGAGCATCAGCCTGAAATTTAGGGTAGCTATAATCAGAAATGGAATCAATCAACAAGAATTATACTGTTGATGATTATTCTGAACCTTAAATATCAATCTCTGATTATAGAAATCTGTTTACATAAGAATGGCAATTCTGCTTTTGATATCAAAAGTTAAGTATAAAATCAATTAAACTGGCTTTTTAAAAGTTCTTTGATAGCATTGAAACATTATTCCGAAAAAAATTAATAAAATTCTAATGTCCTAACTGTAATGCTTTCAGGTAACTTAAGAAAATGATATTTTTGGAACAAATTAGATCTGATTGTATAAGAAAAGACGGGTGTTTTTCTGTCTCATTGATAAAAGCAGTAAAATTAGAAGGGCCTGAATTCTAAAGGAAGGTAAGTATTGCCTTCCTTTTTTGTTTAGAAAAAGTGAATTATTGCTAAATATTCAATATAAATCTGCCTCTATACTTTTGAGTTGATATCATCTGTGTTCTCCTTTTTTCCCATATCCTCTGTGTTCTCCATTTTTTTTCTAGATTATTGGAGTTGAAATAGACTGTTCAAACAAACTTAAAAGTACTTTTAAATAAGAAGAGAGCTAACATTTACCTTGAAATCTTGATCAACTTGATGCATAGAGCCTGGGAAGCAGTTAAGTTTTAACTAAAACATTGAGCCTGCGTGTGACAGCTTCATACCTCGGTTATCATATTTCATATAGAACACGGAATGTTCCCCAAAAGATAATGACGGCCAAGCCTCAAAGCCAAAACCCATGAACCCCTCATTTCTTTTTCTAATTGTACACAGTAGAAAAGACAAAAAGTCATGACATTTCAATGATACAATGAGCAATGAGCTTCCTTTAGCTTATTAAACACACTAACTCCCAAAGTCTGTTTAACTCCCTAGATTTTGTTTTAAGGAAAATATTTCTTCCTTCTAGTACATTCAATATAAAAGTCCTAGTGATAAGCTTTACTGTATTTGAATTTTAAAAAGCCCTCAAGTTATAGCCCAATGAAAATTCTAGAAGACTTAAGTAGGTAAATTACATGCTAGGAAATAAAAAAGTTTAGAGGATGTTTAAGAGTAATAATATAGGAGTCCACATTTATTTCTTGAAACTATATTATGTCATAAAAATAGGGTGAAGCTTTTCCATTTTTTTGGTATGTTTTGTATTGTTTAACTTCAGACTCCTTAACACAAAGAAACCACCTACCATGATTCCTGCAGGATATATTGTCAAAAAACTTGGCGATATTCATTCACAGCATATATGATGGGGGTGGTCATTGGCTCACAATTTAATGTGGCCCTCAGAAAAGTGTTTTATAGCCTTGTAAATTAACTGCAGGATTAAATGTTGGGGATTTGGGGAATGTCTATATTCCAGTTTTTAAACTGGTATGTGATCCCAGAAAGATTCCTTCTTTCTCCATCATTTAGTGGTTAAATTATAATCAAATAGAATGATAAGTCTGGCTTTCTGAAGGCCAGAAACCCATGTCCCAACTATGTATTTGTTAGGATGCAAAAACTGAGGAATAAAACAGACACTTTCTCATTGACTTGCCCCAATTGAGCAGAGGTGGCATCGAAGCTCCAGTGCTTGAACTCAGTACTGAGCTTCAGCACTGTCTTTCTCCCCTCACTCTCCAGCCCACCCAAGGCCACTTACAGTTTTTCATAATGACTGTTTAATAAGCTGTGCCAAGGAACATTATGGTATGGCTGCCACTTCAGAGCACGAGAGCACTGGTCTGTAGGCATCCCGTTCTGTCCCTCACTGTCAGGGTCCTGGACTTCACTGCTGTGACTCCTACTTGTCACTGCAAAGAAACAGGTGGGTCAGAGCCTTCCTTCCAGGCTGTTTTTCCTAGACTCACAGCTAGCAGCATGGTGCTAATGAGTGGGCCACGTGTAAGGCAGAGTGACTGGGGAAGTGTCATGTGCTGGGGGTAGGTTTGCTGCTGACCTCATTTTCTCATCTGTAAAAGGAGCAGCCTAGGTCAGTGATGTCAAAGGGTGGGGGTGAACACTTGTTGGTAACTTTGTCCCTAATATCTATCTACCCTACATCCTGCATAGCTTCTCTTCATTTTCAGTCTATGTGGTTGCAGTAAAGTTCACTCCCAGAGCCAGGAGCATAGGTGATTCAGTTCAATCAATCAAAGTACAGCATTCGGTCCTTGCATCAGTAATTGCATCAGCGGTGGACATGTGGCCTATCCCAATTCAAGCAGAGTGGATCTCAGCACTTCGGGGATGCTCACTCTTCTCCATGAGGTTTGAACCTGCAAGATACATCCCCAACAGCTGCTGGCACCATTTGGTGACATGAGGGAAAGGTATAGGGGAATGATGCCAGCACAGCAGAAGGCAGAGTTAAAAATGAAGGGCACCCAGTCCTGATGATGTCATCTGAGTTCTGGGACCCAATTCTAAACCTTCAGGTTACAGGAGCCAATAGATTCCTTGATTTTGTTTTTTACTTGTTTTGTTGTTGTTATTTTGCTTTTTTTGCACAAGGCAGTTTGAGGGTTTGCTTTTTTAAAGAATTTGGGGTTGTTTTTGTTCATTGCAACCAATCTATTTTGATTTTGGCTGGTCTTTTGTGGCTCTAAGATCCTGTGGTCCAGCTTTTTGAACTTAGAGCAGTTATTCACTTGGCATCTTACTTCCCTCAACTGCAAAATAGAAATTAAAAACATGTGTCATGCCATCCTTACACATTACAGCATTACACAAGCAGAGAGAATGACATAATAGAAGTGAAAGCACTTTCAGAAGCTAGAACCGAGATAAAGTAACAGAGAAAATCTTGTTAGTGTGCAATATCAACTGTAGAAAACTGCCACTTTTCTATGTCAAAGATGGTCAAATAACAGCAATTTCACATGTGCAACCTCCTATTTTGCATAATCCTTGCAACTTGTCTTAATTTGAGTATGCCTCCTGAACCATATGGATTCAACCTCAGATAATTTTATGTAAAATGGTATTGGCATGGTTGCTGTTCCTTTTCTTTTAACTCCTCTACCATCACTCATGCTTGGCATCAGGAGGGAATGGGAAATAGTGGGTGTTCGTGAGACCAGGTTCAGGCTGTCAGTAACAATGTACAAATAGGACATTAGCTCCTATTGAATGTATCCACTTAGCCCACAGCTTAGAGAATACAGGAGAAAGGAGCTGGGTTGTTTTTTAATCATCAAACTTTTCCTTTCTTTATACTTCCATTGAGGACACTTCCTAAAACAAATAAATAGAGCTACTTTTCATCCCAAATGTAAAAAAAAAAAAAAAAAAAAAAAAAGTATTTCTCTTGGGGTATTGCTATTAAATGTCACTTAAGCAAAATATGCATTTTTTTGTTTTCATAAAACACCAATTTTAGGAAGATTTCTCAAAACTCTGAAAAACTTTTTTTCCCAGCTATAAACATATGAAGTGGACAATGCAAGAGCTCTTCACGCTGTCACTCCTCCAAAAGCTACCTGGTCTAAAATATTTTCAAAAAAACAAAGAAGGAAAGGGAAAGGGAAAAGGAAAAGGAAAAGGAAAGGAAAAAGGAAAGGAAAGGAAAAAGGAAAGGAAAGGAAAGGAAAGGAAACATCCTGCTTACACCAAATTGAGAGAAAGAGAGAACGTAATTCTTTCTTTCTTATCTTCTTCTCTCCTACAACGGAGAAAGGGCCAAAGAGCTTGGGAGTTTCAAATTAAGACAGTCCTGGGTTTGAATCACAACTCTACACTTAAGGGCTAAAGCAATCTTACAAAAGTGATTTCAGCTCTGTCAGCTTCAGTGTTTTCATCTGCAAAATGGGATTAATTATGTTACCTCTCCGGGTTGTTGAAGGGTTCAAGGAAGCCATGACTGCAAAGTGCAGAGCACAGTGTCTGCCACTGGTAAGAGTTTAAACAACGGTGCCTTCAGCTATGACCAGTGGCACTGTCATCATCACTGTCCTTGTTTCAACGTACGTAGCTCAGTGTTTCCTAAGAAGTCTTGGGAAATTCTTCTGTTTTTGGCCTCCATGGTAGCTCTATCTAATGTGACATAACTAACCCCTGTGCCTGACTGAATACCGGCTAAACCATGCCCTTTCCTACTCAAGTGTGGCAGCAAGGTCAATGTTCCCAGGCATATAGCCAAAAGCCAGCTCCACTCCTCCAGAAACATATATGGTATATAATGGAGTACCATACGGCAATGAGAATGAGCAAAGGACTACCATTTGCAGCACTAATGAATGAATCCATAAACATACTGCTGGGCAAAAGAGGCCAGTGAGGCTGGGCATGGTGGCTTATGTCTGTAATCCCAGCACTTTGAGAGGCCGAGGGGTCAGGGGAGATTGTCCTAAAAAAATAACAGCATTTCCTGCACTTTGTCATCACAACAGTAAGGGTATCAGAGCAGCCATTCCAGTTGGAGTGACACAGTTGTGGCTTCCCTGGAAGACGGCTATCAGCTGGGAAATCCATAGGGACCAGAATCTGGGATTACAGGCCCACACTGAAACCCAAGGCACACACCTGAGGCTAGCTAGAACTTATTCATATCAATATGACTAACAACGTCTGCTACTTTGAGGGCTTTCTACACCACAGGTGCTTTCCCAGACACTTTACACAGTATTCCGACAGCTCCTTAAATTATCTCCCAGGTAAGAATCTTTTGTTCCATAAACGTTCTTTTTTGAAGGACACTGTACATCAAGAAGAGTACACAGATCGTGAGTACACAATTTTATAATTTACAAAATGATCTAATGGTACAGGACCCTTTTAGCCCTCCAGGGGATACCACGTGACCCCTACCAATAATTAGTCTCTCCTGCCCAAAACTGACCACTACACTAAAATCTAACACCATAGCACAGTTTATAGAAATGGAATACTATGATATAATGTATAATCTTACATGCTGAGCTGGCCTCTTTTCTTTTTTTAAGACAGGGTCTTGCTCCATTGCCCAGGCTGGAGTGCAATGGCACAATCATAGCTCACTGTAGCTTCAACTTCCTGGGCTGAAGCTATCCTCCCACCTCAGCCTTCTGTGTAGTTGGGGCCACAGGTATGTGCCACTACATTGGCTAGTTGTTTTTTTTTTTTTTTTTTACTTTTTTGTAGAGACAGGATCTCACTTTGTTGCCCAGACTGGTCTCAAACCTCTGGGCTCAAGCAATCCACCCACCTCGGCCTCTCAAAGTGCTGGGATTACAGACATAAGCCACCATGCCCAGCCTCACTGGCCTCTTTTGCCCAGCAGTATGTTTATGGGATTCATTCATTAGTGCTGTAAATGGTAGTCCTTTGCTCATTCTCATTGCCGTACGGTACTCCATTATATAAATATACTACAATTTATCTTGCTGTTGATGGCCGTTTGGGATCTTTTCAGTTTGTGGTTGTTGTAAGTAATGCTGCTCTGGATGTTCCTATGCATGTATTTGGTGGGCATATGTGCACATTCCTGCTAAGTATACTTCTAGGTGTGGAATCACCAGGTTGCAGGACATGCTTTAGTAGATACTGCCAAAAAAAATTCCTAAGTGATTATGAGATAAGGTTTCTTAATCTCATTTAACAAATGTGGAAACTGACTTTCAAAGACCTGAAATAACTTTCCCAGTGTCACAGCTGTTAAGTGGAAGAGGTGGGATTCAAACCTTCCTCTTCACTTCATGCTAGACTGAGGATCTCTTGAGAAAATCTAACAGAAGTGAGAATGTAAAAGTAGCAAACTGCCTAAGTCCAGACCTTTTGGAGAAAACTGATAGCTTGCATTTGAATGCTTTTCGAATTATGTTTGCATAACTTACTTTAAAAAGTCTTAGAAATGAGTAAAGTCAAAATTATTATTCTCATTTCATAATCAAGAAAAATAAGGCTCTGAGAATCCCAGATTCCTGGAGAGACAAGACAGGTACTTTTTCAGATGCTGCAGTGTGAATTCAGCCAGTGTACCTCTTACTGTGGGCCACTGGCCATGACTCTAGGGCTGGAAAACCCTTTGTTTTTAAGCTTCAAAATAACAGAGGGTTGAAGACTCCCAGGGAGGCCATGAACCCTTTTTTTATTTGGGGTTAAGACCAAGTAGGGCCAGGAACCAGCTGGTAGGAGCCCGCCTACCAGCACTTCCTCTCTCAGCAAAATTTTACATTTGCCCACACCAACCCAGTGAATCTACACTTTCAGGCCTATAAAGGGGGATCTTGGAACCTTTGAGCAAAGTGTACTGCTTGGGAGAACGGCACTAGAAAAGCTTTATTGCTTAATTTAAGACATTTCTGATCAAAAATCAGTTATCCTTCTGTCTATAATACTGACATAACCTCCTCCTTTTTCTAGCAATGTGCTGCTTCACCAGGACCTTTGTAGAAACTCTTGGCCCCTGCAACATCAAATAGGAACTATTGACTAGAAAACTTTTGCTAAAAGTACAAAATGTAATAAGAATGTGGCATTTGGATTAACTACATGCTTCATTTTGTGTCTTTCTTATTTTTTGTGTTTTTTCTTTTTCTTTGTCCTGAGAACCTGCTCATTTTCATTCTGGAACTGTTGTCTGGAATCAGTTATCTTTACTCAGCTTTTCAGTGACCTGTGAATAGGACTTAAACAAGGGATATAGGATATCCTATCTGTTGGAATTCCTAGTAATTTCAGTCACTCTTCCATGGTTGTTTTCTGAAGATGGTGAAGAATCAATGGCCTTTCTGGAGCAGACATCAGAAAATCATCACAGGATGGAGCTTAACTCTGGGATGGCCAGGACAATTTGAGCAGCAATCTGGTTTGACGAGGAAATTCTTGGATGACTTGTCCTGTATCCCTTAGTGAGCTAGTACATCTGCAGGAGAATGAACAGATGGTTCCCCCGTCTGGCTAGGAATTTACTCAGCCTTTTATGTTTGAGAATCATAAAAAAAGCTGCAGGCTAGATGTGGGGATCCCTGAAGAAATTAGGGTAGCCTTGCATGGGAAGGTGGATGGAGAGCTCTATCTTATCCACAAACGGGGCTTTAATTAGCATTTTGTGTCTCTGAGGTAGGAAGAAAAATGGTGAGCAACTGCTGACCATGTTGGAAGCATATAAAAAGAAAGGAGGCAGTTTGAGGTTTAGTTGATATGAGGAATGGATGCCCAGTGCAATTCTGAGACCGCACTCCCAGGAGATGGGTGGGACTTGACTGACAGGGTGAAGTCATCATCCACAGAAGGCCTCCACAGCCCATGCTGGAGCTGACGCCAGGGGTCCCTCAGAGAATCAGATCTTACCATGGGCTGTTAAAGGCAAAGGCAGCAGCCCCAGCTGGAGAGATTGTGTTTTTTCCCATTTGGGTGAGGCCACACACATCTCCTTTCTGGACAGTGTAAACCTCTAGAGTTTGGGAACAATGGTGGGATGGGGGGCCCAAGAAGGAAATCTTCAACCTCTTGCTAAGCTGACAAATGCAGATAGAAGAAATGGGACTTGGTATGGTGAATTTGTTCACACTGCCCACATTAGCCATTTACAGTGGCTAATAGAACTGGGTTGAGGCCAGACTTGGTGGCTCATGCCTGCAATCCAAAGACTTTGGGAGGCTGAGATGGGAGAGTCACTTGAAGCCACGAATTCGAGATCAGCCTGGGCAACTTAGTGAAACCCATTTCTACAAAAACAAACAGAAACCGGCCTAAAGTGTCATCCTTTACCCTTAGTATGTGCCATAGCATTTACTCTAAAAATTTTGAAGTTCAGGTTTTTAGACTTCAAAAGCCTACTTTGTTAATCAGGTCTCTTAGCTCAAAACATGACATGTTACACGTTATATAAGACAAAACAACAACAACAACAAACAAACAGGTAGGCTGACCACTTGGGCATTAGATGACCTGGTGAAAGACTGCTAAAAGGATTTTACAAAATTTCAAACATCCACTGGGAACTTCCCACTTTGAAGTCAGTTTGAGGAAGAGTTCAACTTTCCACCTCCCTGTTCTAGCTTCTCAGAGTGCCTTCCATGAGCCAGCAGCATCGCCATCACCTGGGAGCTTGTTAGAAATGCAGACTTCAGACCCTAGAGACTGAATCAGAGTCTGCATTTTACCAATATCCTCCAGCTATTTTGTGCACATTAAGGTTGAGAAGGATCGCAACATTGCAATGGGCACAGCAGCAGGCTCCTGAAGGTGCTGCCACATCGCACAGCTTCCACAGGCCTGGAGCCTGGATCCCCTGAGACACATTGTCCCTGAAATTGAAAGACTGGCATTTTACCGGCACTTGAGAGAGAAAACCGCATCTCTTCCTTGGAGGATCTATGAGACGCTGCCTGCATGAAAGGTATGTCAAGAGGAAAGAACCAAACTCCCCGAGCCTATCATTTCTCTTCCGTGAGAAGGAAACTGTTGTAGGGCTGCTCAAAGGCTGGTAAAAAGCCTTTATTTAATGCAGAAGGCTTTGATGGCATTTCCCTTGTCCCTGCCCAGGTTTGCTCACTTGGTCTGCAGTGGTGGGCCCACACTTGGCAGTCCCCGGAGTCCTCCAGTGCCTGCGTGCACTTTCTCTTCTTGGTTGGAGGCAATGAGGCTCTAAAATTAAGACACCAAAATGAAGGTTAGGATTCTTCCTTGCGCACCATGTTATGTTCAATAAAATGTAATCTCCCAGGTAACTGCTCTCTGCTTTCCTAAGTCTAATTCCAATTAGTTTAGGTTGTTTGAACCCTACTAGGCTGAAACTCAGTTTTCCTTGATCAAGTGGACGTGAGATTCACCAATATGAAAGATAAATTGACAGTGTTTACAATGGCAGAGTACTTATTGAGACAGAGAAGATACAGACTTAAAATATAGGTATACATTTTACACACGACAATTTTTTTTCACGCGGAGCTTTACCACAATCTTTGATGGCCCTTACTCTTTTTGGCACCCTCTAGATCCAGAAGAGGGAATAAAAGAAAGAAAAGGAGAGAAGACAGGAGAAAAGAACATTCTTAATGCCTAATTAGCAGATATTTCTTTAAGAGTTCATTCACAATTGCCTTTGATAGCCTAGCTGCGGCTGCATACGCACAGTGTTTCCTCCATCATCCAGAACCTCACTGACATTTCAGCTTTTGGTTGAATGAGGACCTTGGATTTAGAGGGTTTTTAATTAAAAGATTGTCTAAGCCAAGAACACTGGGACCTCGCCACGTCCTATATACGTCTCAACACTGCCATCTCCTGGACACGACTCCACTGTGCAGTCTTTCTACGTCCCTGCCAGAGGCAGGCTGCTCCGAGGCTTTCTGCAGAGATCTTTGATGACTAAACATCTTTTTCTTTACCCAGGGCTATGGCACAGAGGCTGCTGATGGTAAGAACAACTTATCCCCATATGGGAGGACACGGATTGGTCCAGGGGGGTGGCAAGATGACTGGCGTTTGAGTGGCAGCTGTGAAAGCCTCCGTGGATTTGGCTGGAGTCGCCCATTCCAGAGGTGACCTGCAACGGGTGCACGGGCGGCATCGCAGGGGCAGCTGCGGGGTGGAGAAAAGGAGCTGGAGTCCTCCCAGCTGTGGGCCTCGGGGTTCGGTAGCATGCACCTGGGGAGAGACACAAGCAAGAAGTGCCCGTTTCTCACTGCCCAGAGTCCAGGAGAAAGAGCAACAGTGCAAGATGTGCGGAAGGTGGGTCCCACTCACCTTTGACCTGGGGAGGAGAGCAGGAGTCAGACGCAGAATAGGGTGGGGTGACTGGGAGCTGCCGTTGCCTGAAGATTAAAGACATGCATTGCATTTTTGTTTCACTCTATTATATTTTTGTCACAAATAGGAGGCAACCCTCAGTATACAGCCCCCACAATGATGGTTCCAGGTGCTCAGCTTGCGGGAACCTGAGGGGCTTGGGAAGTGAGGGCCCATCAGACCATGCCCAGGGTCATGTCCTGGTTGAGTGGGCTTTGGGTCCCAGCTCCTCTACTTCCTAGCCGTGTATCCATGAACAAGTACTTAACCTCTCCAGGCCTCCATTTCTTCACCTACAAAATGGAAATAATCATTACATCTACCTCCCAGCATTGTTGTGAGAATTAAATGAGATCATGTATATACAGCCCATAACATAATGTCACAAACATAATAAGTGTCCAACAAAGCTTAATGTTATTGCTTCTTATAAGGCAGGACAAATATTTAAAGTGACAGATATCCCAATGGCACTGATCGGATCTTTACAAATTACATGAATGTCTTAAATTATCACATTTACTCCCCAATATTTATGTCTATTATCTATCAATACATTTTTAAAAATAATTACTTCTTAACACTCCTATACCAGAAAAAAAAATGGTTGTACATACTGTTTGGGCCAGGACAATGTAAATTGCTGTCCCTATAGTAATGATTTTCCATTTGTGTTCCAGGGGATCCCAAAGCTCTTGAAAGAAGCTGAGGAGTTTTATAACAAGAACACTTTAAATGGCTGGGGAGAAAACAACTTTTTCTGTTTTTGTATTGAAGTGCAAGTTAAATTTTATTTCATTCATTCATTTATTTATTTGAGATGGATGTTCACTCTGTCGCCAGGCTGGAGTACAGTGGCATGATCTCGGCTCACTGCAACCTCTGCCTCCCAGGTTCAAGCAATTCTCCTGACTCAGCCTCCCAGGTAGCTGGGATTACAGGTGCCAACCACCACACCTGGCTAGTTTTTGTATTTTTAGTAGAGATGGAGTTTCCCCATTTTAGCCAGGCTGGTCTTGAACTCCTGACCTCAAGTGATCTGCCTGCCTTGGCCTCCCAAAGTGTTGGGATTACAGGCATGAGTCACAGCACCTGGCCAGTAAAATTTTATTTTTAAAAAATATGTCCCACCACTAAAGAAGTGTGAAAATCTCTTTTCCAGAAGACCCACAAGTTGCTTATAGCTCAGCATCTCTATAATGCTGCATCATACTTAAGCACCCCAACCTCTACTCGATTCTCTTGCTTGGAGAGGAAGCTTCAAGTTTAGTATGTTGTTTAAAAATCCAACATAATATAATGAAAAGTTTGCTTTTATCATTTACCAGAAAAGTTATGTTTTCTCCTTAAATTAGTTCCTTATAATTTATTCACTTCCTATTAATAAGAATGAGAGAAAACACATCTACCCTCCTCCAAAAACCCCACTCAAATGAATGTAAAGAAATAAAAAGACATAAACACCAAAGCTTATAGAGAACATGAGCAAAGACCCCAGAAGACCAAATTTCAATAGCATGGCAGCAGACAGAAATAGGATGGATGGTAACTGAACCAGTAGAATGGAAAAACACACAGACAGACAGACAGACAGACACACACATGTACATGCACACACACACAACCAAGACTGCCTGGAAATGGTGGAGGGAACAGAGGGAGCCGTCAAGAAGTTTTCCAATCAAAATTCAAAAAGCTCAGGACACAGAAGTCACCATGACCTTCTACCTTCAGGGGTAAGAGTGGAGCTGAAAACAAAGGATTGGTTAAACATCTGAACAAGAAACAACTGGACCCTTAGATCAGCTTCCCCACCCTATAAAGCTACCTCCATCACCTCAGCAGAAGTTGGAAAGGTTTACTCTCTAGAGAAAGGACCCCAGGGAAACTGTGGAACAGGGTTACCAGGCACAGGTAATGCTGTAGCTGAGCTACTGGGCTGAAAAATGGAAGAATTCATTAAAAATCTGAACACTAAACTCTGAGTCTCTTCCTTAATTCTGTTTTGCATGCATCCAAGCAGATTTCCCACAAGTAAGAAATTGGAATACTGTTCCCAAGAAAAATTGAATGTACTCGAGAAAACGTAGTATTTTGAAGTTACCAAGGAAATATCCATCACCTGCCTGATCACTCTACCAAGAAATTTATCCTTTGAGAACAATGGTTGACACACAGAACTTCTTAAACAGGAACAAATAAAGGACCAGCCATTTTGAGAAAGCCTTTAACATTAAAGACAGAGAACAAAACCAGATAAATAGGGAATGCTAAAGAATCACAAAGAGCTCTTTCTGGTTTTTTCCTTTTTATATAATGGGTAAACTACTACCAGATCTGACCCTCCCATAGAGAAACACTCCAAAATCTGGAAATACTTAAAAAACAAAAATAACACAAAGTGAAAAACATCACCTACCCAAAGACACTGAAAACTGGACAAAAACAAGGAGATTCTGGAGGGCACTGAGCTTGGAGAAGGTACTGACATACAGTGAGTTTCTTGTTTACGGCATTTAGTCTGAGGGCTGGTTGAAGTCAGAGCCACAAGACAGCTAACCTCCGATAGAAATCTACAGCCTTTCTGGCCTGAATAACCAGAAAACAGATCTTGGGGCAAACTCGGCTGATGAAAAGTGACAGAGAACCTTGGAAAAGAAAGATAAGAGCAGGGGACCCCCAGATTCTGTGTATAATGTTGCCAAGTCTTTTGCTGATCCCTGAGCCACAATGTATGGGGCAGATTGTGCACAGCCCAACCAAAGAAAACAGGACTAAACAGGACTTGAGTCTAAGCAAAGTGATTGACTACTAAAACAAAAGTATACATACTCTTCTGAGGAATATAAAAGAATCTAGCCATTCCCAATGCCCAGGTAAAATAACTACCCTACACCAGCAATCCCCGACCTTTTTGGCACTAGGGACTGATATCACGGAAGACCTGGACATAGTAGGGATGGGGATGGTTTCGGGATGGAACTGCTCCATCTCAGATTATCAGGTGTTAGATTTTCATAAGACACATGCTACCTAGATCCCTCGTATATACAGTTCACAGTAGGGTTCCCGCTCCTAAGAGAATCTAATGCCGCTGCTGATCTGACAGGAGGCGGAGCCCAGGCAGGAACGCTGGCGCAACCCAGTTCCTAACAGGCTGTGGACAGGTAGCTGTCTGCTGCCAGGGGTTGGAATCCCCACTCTACAAAGAACCAGAAAAATGTGGCCTAGATTGGAGGGACAGAACAATCACTGAACACTAACCCAGAAATGATCCAGATATTGGATTAGCAGACAAGGTTCTTCAAAGGAGCTACTCTAAGAAGCTAAATGGAGCAGATAAGCACATGCTTGTGAAAAAATAAATAAATCAAATCTCATCAAATAAATCAAAACTACACATGAAAAAACTAAACATAAATTCTAGAATTGGAAAACTTCCAGAAATAATTTTTTTTTAATTACTAGATGGGTTCAAAAGTAGAATCGAAGATACATCAAAAGACATCATCCCATCTAAACGACAGAAAGGAAAAAAAATGAACTTTAAAAAAGAGAATAAAAAGATTTATGAACCTGTAGAGAGGATGAAATAGAAAAAAAAATAACAGCCAAAATCTTCCCAAATTTAGAAAAAGATATAAATGTATATGTCAGCAAAACAAATACAAATACCGCATGAGACTGAAGTCACTGTAAACCAAAAATAAAGAGAAAGTCTTAAAAGCAGCTAAAGAAAACCAGCACATTATGTGCAGGGTCATAGTGATTCAAATAATCACTGACTTACCAAAATCTCCAGAGGCCAGAAGACAGTACAAAAACATCTTTTTTCTTTTTTTTTTTTTTTGAGACGGAGTTTTGCTCTTGTTACCCAGGCTGGAGTGCAATGGCACGATCTTGGCTCACTGCAACCTCCGCCTCCTGGGTTCAGGCAATTCTCCTGCCTCAGCCGGGACTACAGGCACGCGCCACCATGCCCAGCTAATTTTTTGTATTTTTAGTAGAGACGGGGTTTCACCATGTTGACCAGGATAGTCTCGATCTCTTGACCTCGTGATCCACCCGTCTCAGCCTCCCAAAGTGCTGGGATTACAGGCGTGAGCCACCGCGGCCGGCTAAAAACATCTTTTTTCTTTTCTTTCTTTTTTCTTTTTTAGACTGAGTTTTGCTGTGTTGCCCAGGCTGGAGTGCAGTGGCTCAATCTTGGCTCAATGCAACCTCCACCTCCTGAGTTTGAGCATTTCTCCTGCCTCAGCCTCCCAAGTAGCTGAGATTACAGGCATGCACCATCATGCCTGGCTAATTTTTTTTGTATTTAGTAGAGACGGGGTTTCACCATGTTGGTCCGGCTGGTCTCAAACTCCTAAAAAAAATCTTTAAAGTGCTACAAAAAACAAAACTGGTAAGCCAGAATTTTACATCCAATGAAAATAGTCTTGAAGAATGAAAGCAAAATAAAGATATTTTGAGATGAAAGAAAACTAAGTGAATTTGAGAATAGACATGTACAATAAGAAATGTTAAAGACAGTTATTCAGGCTAAAGGGAAACAGCTATAGAAGAAAATTTGAAACTATGGAAAAGGATGAAGAGAATAAAAAAGATTATGTTTGAATGTAAGTTATTTTTTATCTTAATTTTAAAAAAACACATCTGAAGCTGGGCACAGTGGTTCATCCCTATAATCTCAGCACTTTGGGAGGCCGAAGCAGGTGAACTGCTTAAGACCAGGAGTTTAAGACTGGCCTGGGCAACATGGCAGGCATGGTGGCATACACCTCTTCTCCCAGCTACTTAGGAGGCTGAGGCGGAAGGATCGCTTGAGCCCAGGAGACTGAGGCTTGAGTAAGCCATGAATTACCAGTACTCCCCAGCCTGGGCAACAGGCTGACCCCATTTCAAAAATAATAATAAAATAAAATAACAAATAAAGTACATCTGAGTGTTTAAACAAAAATTACGACATTATTTTGTGAAGTTTATAATGCACATAGGTATAATACTTAGGACAACTATAGCATAG